TAAGCAGGTTTTTTTCAAAAGCAATCAAAGATGGATCAATCTCTGATGTTGATTTCGACTTGATTTTGCGTCAGATCGCACAGTATTATACGTTAAAAAACCAGCTTGGGAGAAAAGCAAACTAAGTTGACGTTGACGTTATTAGGGAGCAGATTAAAGGAGAATTTTAAAAAAAATTAAGATCACTCGTAAACATAACGAAACAAGGTTTGAATTTGAAAAGACAACGAGCGGGTTGAATATTGTCTAACTCTTTACAAAGGATACGCAAATTCAACACAACTAAGTATTTAATCATCAACAAAAGATGATTAAATATTTAAGATATCAGCTGATTGATTTCAAAGGTTCTGATTGGTTTATTTTTTGTCTATAATTAAACCACTTGATCGAAAAGTTGGCTAATTATTTGATTTTGGTTTTGGTTTTCACACAACGAATGGTTGCCTCTTCGAGGCCCGGCCCTTTAGGGCTTGCCGTTCCGACGCCGGCCCTTTGGTGTTTGCCTTGTCAAACAGTCTGTTAATAAATTTAAGACTCAATCAGAGTCTTTGAATCACACATGAGAGAGCGAAAAGAGTTTCAATTTGACATTAATCAAGCAATGTATAATCTTGAGAGTAAGGACATCCGTCAGACGGAGAGAGAGTTGGATAATTGACAACGAAGTTCACTCAGGTAGTCCGGGTCCTGTGTCTAGTTTTTTACAGCTAAACGTGGTTACAAAATGGTCTGTTTGAACATTAACAGTCTTGTCAAACATGTTGACGAACTTTGAGTTCTTCTTGCTGAGTTTTCATAGGATATCCTGGAAATTAATGAAACTAAACTTGACGAACCATAAAAAGTTCCGAACTCCATATACCAGGCCACGAATTTATCCGTCGTGACAGAAATAGACATGGTGGAGGGGTAAGTTTTTACATAGAGTCTTCAAATTCTTGTATAGTGCGCTCCGATCTAAACGCAATTAATCTTGAAAATTTAACTATAGAAATTCATAAACATAACTCTAAACCATTTTTAGTAACGACATGGTACAGACCTCCTTGCTCTCCAACCGATCTATTTTCGAGTTATTAGTCATTTATAGGCAAATCAGATTCTCTTGACCTAAAGTGCTATTTGTTTGGTGACTTCAATTGTAATTTGGCCTCTCTTATCGCTGATGCAAACACTCATCGTTAGCGAAAGATTTCGGATTTATATGGGCTCAAACATCTAATAAATGAACCAACGTGTGTTACAGAATCTATACATATATATTTGATCTATACACTGCAATTAAACAGACAAGGTAGGCTGTTCCGGAGTCTCTCATATTGCCATCAGCGGTCATAACCTCTTCTAAGTTTATCAGAAACTCTCTTCTGATTTGCCATCTTAAGGACACTCTTCCATCTCTTACAGAAATTTTCGAAATTTTGATGGTGGAAATTTTCGAAATGAAATGTCTCAGCAATACTGGTCGTTAGATGAATCAGAAGATCCAAATTTGGCATGGTCTTACTGGAAAACAAAATTTTGGCGCGTTGTTAACTCACATGCTCCTTTTCGAACTAGACGTACTAAATTGAATAAAACACCCTGGATTAATTCAGCCTTGAAGAAAGATATGCGCTGTCGCGATGCTGCTAAAAAGGAAAGCCATAAGAACAAGGAATCCTAAAGACTGGGCCAATTACAGACTGCTCCGAAATCGAATCAGCAATAAAGTGAAAACCACTAAGGCATCCTATTATCACGATAGTTTTATTCAATCCGAAGGAAATGCTGGAAGGACTTGGAGAACCATTATCAACCTCATGTCTCGTGGTCAGAACAACCAGATAGTAAAGGAAGTGAAAGTAAATGATATCTCTATCTGTAACTCTAACGAGATTTCCAACGCCTTTAACGAATATTTTTCAACTATTGGGCCCGGACCAGCCCGCGAAATACCTTTAACTTCGGACGAAGAGTCTATTTATTTAAACAATACTCCTGAAAATTGCAACAAATTCTGTTTTCGTCCAACTAATACCAGTGTTGTCTCGACTTATCTAAATAGATTGTCAAAAACTAAAGCTACAGGGCTAGATTATATCTCTGCCAGGTTAATTCGTTAGTGTGCTGATATTATTTCAGGCCCGTTATGCGATCTTTTTAATAATCCCTGATGTCTGACACATTTCCTGACGACTGGAAATGTGCCAGAGTGACTCTGTCGTTTAAAAAAGGCGATTCACTTGATTTAAACGACTGCCGACCTAACTCAGTCATTTCCGTATTCGCCAAAGTGTTCTAGAGGATTGTATAGGATCAGTTATACAACTTTTTAAATAGTGGAGAAATCATCTCTAAACAACAATCTAGTTTCAGGTATTAACACTTAACTGTTACTGCTCTTCTTGAAGCCATTGACAGTTGGGTGTTTAATATCGATGGTGGCTACGTCAGTGCCGTAGTGTTTCTCTGGTTTTTAAGTGGCACATTGTTGTTAGTTAATATAATGTAAGGATTAGAATTTTTAGGTTCTTAGGATATCAATCATTGTATAGGAATTTTTTTTAACTAGTGAATCTTTTTTATCGTGTATAAATAATGATTAAATAAAAAAATAAATAATTACATGATCGTATTTGATGATCGTATATCGTATATTATACGACCGTACATAATCGTATTTGAAGAGTACAAGAAAATTTTGGGAATGGAGAGAACCCGAAGGAGATTGGAAATGGAGATGGAGAGAAGTGATGAAACTAGGACTTTGAAAGGGGAATTAAAGAAGAAGCGTCAACAAAGGAGGACAGCAAGCAAACCATATTCAAAGAAGGGGAAAAAACAAAGAAACCGAACAGTAATGGTTCGCATAAGACTCACTTTCTGAATACGATTGATTACAAAGATAAAAAAAGTAGGTGAAATTAAACTCAGATAAATTTTGTAAGGTGCAAGAAAATCTTGTTTAAAACTGTTGTTTTCTGAGAGGATTTCAGACTTAGGAGGAAATTGAATTTCACAGTGATCGAATTCCCTGTTAAATTGAGAGATATTAATAGGTTTGACAGACAGAATGAGGGTATCGCGGTCAATGTGTTTGGTCTTAAAGATACAAAAGTCTATCCTCTCAGGATCAGTGAGATGAAGAACAGAGAAGAGAATGGAAAACTAATCATTGATTTTCTTATGATAAAAGAAGGTAATCAGCACTACTGCTTGATCAAAAACATTGGAAGGTTACTCTCTAAACAAGTCACAAAGCGAGATGGTTTATTTTTCTTCTGTCGAAGAGGTTTGAGTCACTTTCTAAGTGAAAAAAAATTAGCAATTCATGATCTACGCTGCTCTAACAATGAAGCAGGACCTATCGTGATGCCGGAAGTAAATGATGAAGGAATAATACCGTATATCAAATTCAAGAATCACAATAGATTTGTAAGAGTTCCATTCGTAATTTACGATGACTTTGAATAATTAACAGAATCGATTGACACATGTGAGCTCATGAGTGATAAGAGCTTTATTCACAAGAGCAAGTCATCTACAGAGCAAAGAAGCCTTCGGTCGGCCCCTGCAGGGGCAGTGAGGATGAAGATGTTGATCGGATCCTTTTAGAAATGCTTGAAGAAAACATCAAGGAGATTTGTAAGTAATTGGGCTTTGCCAAGAAGATGATCTTCGCAGATGAAGATAGGCATGATTTCAACGATGCAACGCACTACTGGATTTGCAAGTGTTTATTTGACAATGACAATGACAAAGTGAGGGACCACTGCCATTTCACAGGGAAGTATCGTGAAGCAGCTCGCTACAAATGCAACTTACAATTCAAGAAGCCGAAGTTCACTCCTGTCATCATTCACAACTTGGCTGGCTACGACTCTAATTTATCCGTTAAGAATCTCGGCAAGACCAAAGAAAACATCAAATGCATTCCAAATAAGGAGGAAAAATACATCAGTTTCAACAAAGATATCGTTTTTGGTTCTTTCATCAACAAAGAAGGTAAAATAGTCGAAGTCAAAAACGAGTTTCGCTTTCTCGACAGCTTTGGGTCCATTGCTTCTTCCCTCGATAGTTTAGTCGCAAAATTGAGTTATTAAAAAGGAAAGTCTTTAAAGACACAATCGAGTTGGTCTCGCGGAAAAGTGCGCACCCATATGACTACATGGATAGTACCACTAAGTTTAAAGAAACAGAACTGCCACTCAAAGAAGAGTCCTACTCTAAGCTGAACGACAGTGATATCTCACATGACTACGAGCATGCAAAGAGGGTCTGGAAAGAGTTCAAAATGAAGAGGATGGGTGATTACCGTGACCTTTATCTCACAACGGATGTTCTCCTACTGGCAAAGATGTTTGAAGAATCCAGAAACGGTTGTCATAAGCTCGACCCTGGTGGTATTTCACCGCTCCTGGATTGGCTTGGGATGCTACCTTGAAGGGGACTGATGTAGAGCTTGAATCACTCACTGACTCAGTGGATAACTGACAACTAGAGAAATATTCCATCCATCCTCGAGGTGGATCTTGAGTATCCTAAAGAGCTTCATAAATTGTAGAACGACTAACTGCTTGCTCCTGAGATAATGAGGATAAATAGGGTGGAAAAAATTATTCCAAATCTGAATGATAAGGGCAGATACATAGTTCATCAGAAGACACTGAAACAATATCTTGATCTCGGTTTGAGGATAAAAAAGATTCATAGAGGTACAAGTTTCGAAGAAGAACCTTGGCTTAAGAGCTACATCGAGCTCAATACTAATTTACGGGCGAACGCGAAGAATGATTTCGAGAAAGAATTCTTCAAATTGATGAACAACTCTGTCTTCGCAAAAAGTGTGGAAAACATCAAGAATTGAGTAGGTGTGAGATTAGTCAATGATAGAAAGATAGCACTAGAACTTACAGCGAAACCAAACTTCAAGAATTGCACGATATTCAATGAAGATTTGGTAGTGATTAATGTAAAGAAGACAACTTAAGTTTGATAAGCCAGTATATTGTGGAATGAGCATCCTTGATATCAGCAGGACTCTAAAGTATGACTTCCACTATAACTACGTCAAGAAGAAGTATGGCAGCTCTGCGGCCTGACCGAAGGCTGGAGATCGTGTAAAGCTTCTCTTCATAGAGACTGACAGCTTGATGTATGAGATTGCGACTGAAAACTTCTCCAAGGATATGTGCGGTGATGTTGAAGACAAGCTCGACAATAGTACTTACCCCGAAGATCGCGTGTCAGGGATCCCAAATGGTCGTAACAAGAAGGTCGTGGGAATGATGAAGGATGAAGCTGGTGGAAAGGTCGTTGAAGAGTTTGTTGGATTGAGAGCAAAACTCTACAGGTACAAGATGTTTGAGGGAAAAGAAGAGAAAAAGTGTAAAGGTATTAAGAAGGCCGTAATAAAGAAGAATATAACTTATGAAGACTACAAGAGTGCTTATTTCGCGGAAACATGGAAATGAGGAAAATGAATGTAATCATGATGATAAACACCAGGTCTTCACTGAGACGATAGACAAGATATCTTTGAGTACTAATTATGATAATAGAATAATAAGAGAAGATACGATGTCGACTTTTACTCATGGTCACTATCACTCCGCGGCCCGGCTCGAAGAGCTTATCGATTAAATGAATAAAAAATATGAATCCTGATAACATTCCATCCAACACATTAATAGTCGGACCTTCTAATTAAGGAAAGAGAAAGACACCTGATTAATCTGTTGAGCAGCGAACTCATTCAGAACTTCGATTACACTGTCCTGATTTGTACAACATTCGTCCACAACGAGACGTATGATAATTTCGGAGATTCGGATAAAGACTTATTTATTTTAACTCCTCAGCAAAACCAGATTGATGACTGGCTCAAGATTATTAGTTATGTGTATGGGGGAACTGACACACTGATCATTCTCGGTGATTGTGCTGCTTCGAGGGATGTGAAGCAGAGGACGAATGAAATCGTGAATTTGGCATTCAGCGCAAGTCATAAGGAAATCAGCGTTTGGGTCCTCACACAACGGATGACAAGCATCGCAAAACCATTCAGAGAGAACACTGCTACATTATTTCTCTTCTACACAACATTTTCCAAGGATATGAAGATCATTTTAAGGATAACGCGGGTGAGTTGATGAAAGATGGGCAGAAGAAATTAATATCAAAGCTCAAGAATGAGAAGTATTGAGTATCAAGCGAAGGAGATGATTTGTGTATCTCTCACTAGGATCAAGTCAAGAAGCTTTCTGAACAAGATGTTGAGATGTACTTCAAGAGATATGGAGCTTCGTTGTCTTTAAAGACTTTCATGGAATGGTTGATACATTTCTTCAGCTCCTATGTAAAGTATTAGCTCATTTTCTCCCTGTTGATGAAGGAAAACTTCTGAAGGACTTGAACGATAACTTCATAGTTAAGAGAGAACTCCGAATGATCGCAGGCGGATCGAGTCTAAAGTAGGGAAGGCACATGACAATCGCAAGTGTTGCTCTTCTCACTGCCAAAAACGTTGCAGTCAACGATCAGAACTTGTGTAAGTACTTGATAAAAACTTGATGAGAACTAGATGGGAACTTGATAACAACTTGATAACAACTTGATAACAACTTGATAACAACTTGATAACAACTTGATAACAACTTGATAACAACTTGATAACAACTTGATAAGAACTTGGTAAGAACTTGATAAAAACTTGACAACCACTTGATAAGAACTTGATAAGAACTTGATAAGTACTTGATAACAACTTGGCAACAACTTGATATGTACTTAATGAGAACCTGATGAGACCTTGATGAGAACTTGATGAGAACTTGATGAGAACTTGATGAGAACTTGATGAGAACTTGATGAGAACTTGATGAGAACCTGATGAGAACTTGATGAGAACTTGATGAGAACTTGATGAGAACTTGATGAGAACTTGATGAGAACCTGATGAGAACTTGATGAGAATTTGATGAGAACTTGATGAAAACTTGATGAGAACTTGATGAGAACTTGATGAGAACCTGATGAGAACTTGATGAGAACGTGATGAGAAGTTGATGAGAAGCTGATGAGAATGATTGATGAGAATTTGATGAGAACTTGATGAGAACTTGATGAGAAGCTGATGAGAACTTGATGAGAACCTGATAAGAACGCGATGAGAACTTGATGAGAAGCTGATGAGAACTTGATGAGAACCTGATGAGAACTTGATAAGTACTTGATGAGAACTTGATGAGAACTTGATGAGAACTTGATGAGAACTTGATGAGAACTTGATGAGAACTTGATGAGAACTTGATGAGAACTTGATGAGAACTTGATGAGAACTTGATGAGAACTTGATGAGAACTTGATGAGAACTTGATGAGAACTTGATGAGAACTTGATGAGAACTTGATGAGAACTTGATGAGAACTTGATGAGAACCTGATGAGAACTTGATGAGAACTTGATGAGAACTTGATGAGAACTTGATGAGAACTTGATGAGAACCTGATGAGAACTTGATGAGAACTTGATGAGAACTTGATGAGAACTTGATGAGAACTTGATGAGAACTTGATGAGAACTTGATGAGAACTTGATGAGAACTTGATGAGAACTTGATGAGAACTTGATGAGAACTTGATGAGAACTTGATGAGAACTTGATGAGAACTTGATGAGAACTTGATGAGAACTTGATGAGAACTTGATGAGAACCTGATGAGAACTTGATGAGAACTTGATTAGAACTTGATGAGAACTTGAATAAGAACTTTAAAATTATACATTAACAAATAAAACGAATGGTAAAGAACACTGCAGAAGCACCGGCTTGCGTAGCGGCTCAACAGGTGACGACAGTTTTTACTAGTTCGCGTGAAGCCTTACGAAGAGGTTCTTATTATTACATTTAAAAAATCTAAGGCGGACTCTACAGCGAAGAAATACAGGAAAGAGATTTTAGGTTTATAGTCTGGTGTGCGAGTCGTGCCCCCTTTACCCGTTGCTCCCGTAATCGCGAATATTTTGAGAGAATGTTTCTCAAAGATATCTGTTTTCTAGAAAGCACTTCTATAGGTTTACAAGAAACTTGGCCGCTGAGTTTGTAGAAATCATTAAAACTTTCTTGCAGTATATTAACTACTTACTACTATTTGAACTGAAATGCGAAACAAAAGTCAGTTTGGTTCACCTGAGCATCCAACCATCAAGGTGCGTGGTTTTATATTTGTAGTATAAAAAGGGAAAAATAATTTACTTCCTTGTGAGCATGGCGAACAAGAACTATAAACGTTTCCCAGTAGAAGTTCACAGATTTTCTGATTCTTCATTCTTACTTTCTAACCATCTTGTGGGAGACTTCAATATTCATATGATCACTCGTTCTATTTCCTGAAAACACTAACTATACTACAACATAATTATATAATCTTGACGACAACTTCAAACATCCCAATCATAAGCAACAAAGAGATACAGAAAAAAAAGTAGGTTCGCCTCTTGCGTCCAAAGAACTCATGGCCTGCGACTTCCTCTCAAGGAAAACAAGTTAAAGTAGAATGCTGCTATAGTTTCAATAAAAGATGACAACAATTCTTCCCATTTATGCCGCGTTTTTTTATTTAGTTCAGATTAACCCTTTAATGAATTATAACCCTTAACCTAACAAGATTTTCAATTTACTCAGGTAGAACTACTAATTCCATCCAATCCATTTTGTGCATGGCTGCATTTCTGCATGGAGCCTATCTTTACGGCCTAAGGAAAAGATTAGAAAAGATGATTTAAAATAGAAACTCGATTTATCATGTGAACAATAGAAATCTTATGTTAATGGCTGTGTGATAATAATGATTCGATTTACCGCTCTCGCTATAATAAGCGCACCCTCTCTAATAAGCGCCCATCGAATTTGTTTTTGTTAATAAGCGCCCCTATACCAATAAGCACCTCTATTGAGAAAGTATCCTCATTCCAATAATACATGTACATTGAGATCAACCGTGGTTCATCTTCCTTTAATTGCGCACTTAAAGCCTCATTGCAGGAATGGTGGTCTTCGTTTCAGTATCTCATCTATTAAATGTATATCTCATTTTAAAATTTTGTGACAGTTGCTTGGCTGCCGCTGGTCGCTCTATCCAGGAAGGTTCATGAAGGATCCAGGGGGAACCAGTCTGTTTTTGATCCTTTTTAAAATAAATGTCAATGGTTTGTTTTGCACATTATGCTGTTCCTCAAAAGATGAAATAACGTCCTGTCCCTAATAAGCCCCCTGTGTCCGATGGGCACCCTCCCTTGAGGTACCAAAAGTAAATAAGCGCCCAGGAGCTAAATCGAATCATTACGGTAATAAAAATATCGTTTATGTTAATATTGAGTTAATAGTGAGGTCAGCAACCCCCCTTACAGTTTTTTCCCATATGGACTGACCTAGAATGGTGAATAAATAATCCAATTTTTTTCACTGCTGGTCTGCCTTTTCTGCTTTGCTGTAAATTGTACGGAAAAAGTTCCATTACGTAGTCCGTATCATAAAAAAAAAATGGACCAGCTACGAGGACGTGATCAGCCAATCAGATCTGAGAATTTAAGATTCCGGCCCGCTCAGATGCTTTAGTGAAAATAAATAGTGGTTATTTCTGTTGTTCTGGCTTTTATTATTTGCTATACCTTTAGCATTGAGAATTAACATTGAAGAGAATGAGAGTAAGAGCCCCTATTCAAGTTACCTGGTGTAGACAAAGTTGGCGAGTTTCATTCCAACACCAAGACCGTTGTCATCTATCTTGCATTTGGATGATACTCCATACTTTTTAAACTCCTGCACTTTTCCATCACTTGTGGTAAAACACCTGTTCCTTTTCTGTACAACAAATAGAGAAGAAGATTAAAATTGGTTGGGAATCAAGATTACAGTCTACCTTGTGAGTTACCTTAAGAAAATCGCATTTGGAACGTTTTTAAGAGAGGATGTCAGCATCCATCGAAGAAATTTGAAATATTGTGGCAAGTCGCTCAAAATTCGTTTTCACTCCTACTTTTATATTTTGTAGCCCAATATGTTTTAATAATTGTGGTGTAGTTTTTTTGTGAAAATTTGTTTTAATTTTCGAGAAATGACTTTTTTCGTTCGACCGCTTAAATATGCAAATTTTCACCGTGAATATTACCCAAGTTGTGTGACCTCATGTAACGATTCCACTAGACCTCCGGCATTTCTGTCAACATAATACTTTGTTTTATTACCTAAACTTAGTGCCCTGTCTTTATTGAAGCTGGCAAAGAAATATTTATTTTTGGTGAATATTTTTGTCCGACATACTTTTCCCATGTCGAAAAGTAGCATCAAACAAAGAGTCACACAACTCGGGTAATATTAACGGTGAAAATTTGCATATTTGAGCAGTCGAGCGAAAAAAGATTATTTCTCGAAAACTGAATTAAATTTTTACAAAAAAAACTACACCACAATTATTAGAACATATTAAGCTACAAAATATGAAAGTAGGAGTGAGAGCAAACTTTGGGTGACTTGCCGCTCTTTGTTTGATGCATGCTGACATTAGCTCTTAAAGCGATCACTACAAACCAAGCCTAAAGAGGTGTACTGCAATTTTAGTTATGCTTATGCAACCGAGTGTTTCGTTCGACTGAGTCAGATATCTCACACACTTGCTTATGGAAAATAATTAAATAGTCTTATGAATGCTAGGTTAAGTTAAACAAATCTTTTGTACTCACTCGAATACCAAAAATCTTGAAACCTTTCTTTTCCGCTGCAATTTTGCACTTCTCAAATACGTCCTGAATGCTTAGTTTCTTTCCATGGACGGTGGCGATTTTACGTCCGAGAACCATTTTCGCTTTCCTCTTGTGCTCTTTGAAACATACTTCAGATTTCCACGCGACTGCAGCAAAAGAATTTGGAAGAAGTCAATGGGCCAAAATGTTGAGTTCGAATTTGGTGGAGAAAAAGAAACAAACATATGGATGAAAACATGTCAAGTGATAAATCTCACTTTCGTAGTCTATGTTTGGCTAAACATTGTTCAAAATTTCCACCTAAGGTCTCAGTAGGAACATAAAGGACTGAAAAAAAATCTTGGTGAACCCTCAATTCTTGTGGAAAAACTTGAGTCCGAGTCTGGTGGAAAAAACAAACAAACAGATGGATGAAAGCATCTGTCCATTGAGAAGTCTGACTTTTTTAGTCCATGTTTGATAATAAATTGTTCAAAATTTCAACCTTAGGTCTCGGCAGAAACATAAAGGACTGAAAAAAAACTAATCTTGGTGAATCCTTGATTCTTATGGAAATACTCCGAATCCTACTTTGAAGGCAAACTGGATGAAACGAGGTATGGTCACAAGAGGGTTTGATCTGTGGCGAAAATGCAACTAGGGTTTATCAGCCGAGGGATTCCAAATGAATTTAACAGTTGTCGGAATCCTGTCTGCTTTGGTGAAAGCTACTTTTTGACGGTTATTTAGTGTCGTGTGGGTAGCAATGTTTCATGTATTAATCGTTAATGTATACTACGTGCTATATATTTACGCTCAAACTTGATAAGACAGCGACTTAAACTTAAAGACAAAACACAGAGAATCTTTAGGTTCCTCTTCGAAACCCTTTATTTGTTCCATGAGAGGGCTAACTCAGACGTCGTTAATTGTAATGACTATAAAAGTTGATTGGCTTCGGCTAGAAAGCGTATAGATTTGAAGTGATTTGAACACATTTAAAATGAGAACGTTGTTTCACCAATTAGTTGGAAGGATGAAAAAGTTGGAAGTAATGGTAACTTTCAATGGCTTTAAACCAATTACTGTTGACATCCGACGCGCATATCAACGTTGCTTTCGCACGTCGAGAGTCTTTTAGCGCATATGGCAGTACAGACTACCCACAAAAAGAGTTTATTCCTAAAGCCTAGATTAGCGAGTAAAAGAACCGGTAGCATTGCTCTAGTTCAAACTGAGCTTGCCAGACAACGCGAAGATCGTCCGCAGGACCTACACAGGCAAATACCATACTTAGGAACACTGACACCATAGGCAACCGAAAAGGTTTGGAGAAACAAAATTTTCATTCATTCTCTTAGAAAAAAACAATTGAGGAGACTTTCCTTTGAAAGAGGAATAAGCTGCTGGCCGTAAGTGATTTCCCAAGACCAAAAAGATAGTTAATTCGAAGACGCATCAAACCTTCATCACAGTTTTTCCCATCCCATCCTGCAGGACATGGCTGACAACTGTATCCATCTTGAGTAATCTTACAACTGGCTCCATTCTTACAAGGAGATGACTCACATTCATCAACTGTTGCAAAAGAATGTCAACAATAATCCATGATCACAAAATAACCCATCAAATCATAGCATCACATGAGCTGTGAAAGACTAAATAATAGAAACTCCTCAAATAGGATTCGGAAGAGTAGCAAAACGCAAAAAAGTTTTTGCTTGGGGTCATTTTCCGTTGACAGGAAGATAGACAACAACTATTATTTACTCGAATTAGTGGAAGAAAACCGAGCCTGTTTTAGAAGGGGAACCTTTTGCGCTTTGCCATAGATCATTGGAAACATTACATTACCAAGTAAAGCATAAGCAAAAATATGAAATGGAAGTTGCACTTAAGCCCCTCTGGGACAAAAGGTGAATTCATATCCCTAACCGGAACAGTGTATCCCATAAGATCATGCCCGTCATACCAACTGCGTTCGTCGAGGATGCAGCTGGGGCTACACTGGTAGGATGGCTTATTGGTAAGACAGAATATGACTTTTCTCTCTGGTTAAAACATAATTTTTTCGAATGTTCATTTTTTAAAATGTAAATTTTTTTTGTCAAAATTCTTAACACTTTCGCCTCAGGGTATGCCGAGTTTTTATTCAGGGTTTCTCAATAGCCCCTCATACAAGGTTCTCCAAAACACTTTTTGAAAGACTTCCCCTAAATTTCCTACCTCTAAACAGTAGCATCTACATTTTTTAGCTCCAATCACAATCAGTACATTTTAGGAAAAAACTGGCTATTCTAGCCGATGATCCTACCATAAGGATTGTTTTGTATTCAAGTTTGGGATGCTTATTTCTTACCGCAGTAAGCCCATTGTCCTTTGTAAACTTTGTCAAATGAACACCACAATCTGTGATGAGCTACCTTGGTATAAGATTGGTAAGTTATTCCTCCATACTCGAAAGGAAAAACACAGCAACGGCCTTGAGAATCGTCCGTCTTTTTACCAGGTGGACAAGGAAGCCCTGTAGAAAAATCAGAATAATTGTGTTACGTTCTTTACGAAATCAATCTACACATGCACAAAAGCATTCGTTGAACATAAGTGATGTACTGTTAAAAGTTTACTCACGCTTTTTGCAGGTGTCTCCTTCAAAGTCATCAGTGCATTTGCATGAGAATGAATCAAGACCTGTCATTGTGCATGTTCCACCATTTTTACAGGGATGTGACTTACAGGGGCTCACTGAGGAAACGAAACATTATGATTGGCAGAGTAGTAGTCCGTTATGATTGGCAAATTAGTCGCTTCTATGTTCAAGAAATGTCTAAAATGATCATATTTATCGTGCCTGTACCTTTTTCACAAGATTCTCCATAATATCCGTCGGGACATTTACAGCTGTAAGAATCATCTCCAGTTACTGTACAGTCTCCCCCATTTTGGCAAGGGTTGTTTGTGCACGGGTTCACTAGGGTTCATAACAAAAATTTGCGTTAAGCGGCCTCGGTTATTTATTTGTTGAGGTAGGTGGATTTGTTTTCCACAAAGAAAATTACCTTTAAACATGGAGGCTTCATCTCATGATATGAAATATGCAAAGGTATTTAAGAGCAATAGTCTGTCAGTTTCGAACTTTTTAAAAAAATCGCGGCCACTTAACCTTGCCGATTTGGCTGAAATTTGGCATGAAGGCTAATTTTAGGGTCCTTACCACGAAATGGGTATTAAAAAGTTCCAGCTGTTTTTGCCTGGCATAAAATCGATAAAGCCGACTATGTCCGCCCATACTTGTCCGCCAACATGGCGTATCGAAGGTGTTCTTATGATTTCAACTCCAGTCCTGTCGTAAAGATATCCTAAAATCTCTTGAAATAAATAAAAAGATCTACCCTTTTTTAACATTTATTGGAAAAAATGTGGGAGATGACAGATTTTGATTACAGGTTATCTCAACGTTCGAAGGTCGTTTTGCACCGCCTTGAACAGTAATAAATGTACCCCAACTTGTCAGCATGATATCTCCAATGTTACCTCGATCCAGAGGTTGCCATTTATTTGGAACAATGTTTGTTTACGGATGAATTGATTGCATTAATAAAAAAACGGGGGAAATTTAAAGGGACCAGCTCGTAAATCAGCTTACCGGTCGGAAATAAAGTCCAAGTACTTATTTCGTCCAGAATGAAAGCAAATTCCAGAAGTTTTCCTGATATTACGGAAGTATCTGTTGATTTTGAGCGAAAGCAAATATGTCTGGGCGACATTGTCGCAATGGGAATAATATTTGGTTACCCAATGAATGTAAACAGTCGATCCGGTAATAACACTCGGAAGGGTTGATTTCACTTACCGTTTTGAGAACGAAAAATTCCGAAAAAGAGAAGATTCTTGTGAATTCCAAACCAGCTTATTTGGTGGTGATTGGAGACTTACTCAAAATCAGAACCTGTGAGCTACATTTGTAGTTGGTCCTTGTCACGTCAACGATTCAGATATCTTTCGTTGGCTATTACGTAAATTACATCACGTTTTTGAGTAGGTCTTAATTTCGTTTTTGATATGTTTCAATGTTCTTTCAGGATACTTCCTTGCAATTTTTTTTTCACCAACGGTGAGCGCTAAATGCACACATAAAGCGCCGTCATTAAGGGCACAGACATGAAAGTTGTTTGAAATAAATGTCATCTCGTTGGAATTCGCGCGCAATCGCTAATTGAGTTTGCTCTAAGATCTATTTTACTTTGAGAGGCTGTTCGTGAAGGATATATTTTAAACCTTCTTTCGGTGGCTTTAAACGAGCTTTACACCTAATCAATATGAAAAACGAAACTATGAATTCGAATTCATAGTTTCTTGAATTCTTGTTCATCTCTGAACTGTCGTTTCTAGCGAAAACGGAAGTTAAGACCCAAGACCTAAGAAACCATATTTCATTTATTTTTTGATGGCAATGAGAGAGGAACGGAAGCCGAAAAGGGACAATCCAAGAATATTTTGCAAATCCGAAAAAACATTCAGAATCGATATCTTTTAGACAAATAGCTTTTGAAAAGTTTGTTAAATCGACAAAACAAATTCAAATCCGTGACTTTCCATTCATTTACCGGGCTTTAAAACTCTAGACCTTGCAGACCTTTACTTCTTTATCGCTCTAGAAAGACTTACATTTCCGGCTCAAATTCCTCACCCCAGCCACGCAAGGTCCAAATTTCCCATTCCTCAGGCACGGGAGACAGTTAAATACCCGTGAGTTGCCCGTGTTTCCTTTTTTAAAAAAAAAAGAACTTGGGTAGGGCATTTGAACACAATTTTGGCCCCGGGGATTGGAATTTGAAGAACTAATTTTCAAGATTTCAATTTCCACGGGGAAGGGAAGTTGAAGTTTCGAATTAATCGATGCATAAGCATGAAATTTGTCCCAGTACCTACTCTAGCCCTTCTCAAAGATGCGTCAAAAACGTTTAAACCCCATAAATGAGGCTTTATGTCTCGTATACATCGTAAAAGGGATATGCACTCGCACGACTACATGGTATGTCTGAAACTATCCTCAGCAAACCTCGAGAAACCGCTCTTGACCAATACTATACTAGAGCATGCTCTTCATACAAAGAACTGGAAAATAAACTGAAGCAAAAAGGGAAGTTAATCACTGACATGATAAGTTTGGCTTTGTTAAAAACGAGAACTTTTCCAATATTTTACCTCATTGAAACCAGCCTCTCAGTGTTCACTACAAAATAAAAACAAATTTCAATTTTTGTACCTGTTGTGTCCAAGAAGTATGAAGGAGAGTAAAATGATAAAAAAAAACAATAACCTTATCTAAACAGGATCCACAAATAAAGGAATGAATTTCCACTTTAAGACTCAAGAATAAACTTGATTGCTTGTGCACTCTCACGAGTTCAAGTTGATGTCTATCTCAAACCACATTCCGTTTTGTGTGTGTGTGGCCACTGCCAGAGTGTATTACGTTGGTATTTAAGGCTTACTTTTGATATAAATAAAAGTTACTCTGACGGACTTGCCAAAGGCTGAGGTTTTTCTTATGCTGCAAACTTGAGGAAATGGTAAATTGACTCCTGTTGGAAAAAATGATGAATTTGCATATCATCTACGAAACCGGTTGCGCGACCTGTAAGTACTGTATCATTAATCTTAAGTTTGCAGCGACTTAATTAAAATAAAGGACCAACAGCTATCACCAATAGTTTATAAGAATTGATAAGAATGTTTTTTCACAAAATCCTTTGTTCTCAAAACGGTAAGCAAATTAGCCTCTGAGCGTAATTATAGTCGCAAACGCTAATCACTTGTATTCAAACTTAACTAGAACAAACTTCCGTTCATAGAAAATTTAACAAACTTGACATGACTCATTGTTGAACACGGTAACTGAAAATAACACGAGAATGAGCATAAAATAACTTACAACGTATGAGTGAAAGTACTAGAAAACGACAAAGCGAAATAAACAAGGACACTTACAAGACGAATGTGACCAAACCAAAAGACGAAAAAATGAAACTCAAAGCACGATATGTTCCGATATGTTCCGCAAACTAGACAACTAACCAAATAAATTACGCGCGAACAGAGTAACTACGATATGCAAATAAATATAACAAGTACAAAACTGGTAACTGACAGAGGACACTAATGAAGACGAGAAACTAAACACCTAACACGGAACTATGAAACAACAACAACAAAAATAATGATACAAATTCTTGCGCCTACAGTAATTGCACGTGGCTTGTTTAAATTCAACTAGTTACCTAAAATCATACCATTGCAACAATTTTGCTTGAACATCACTGAGGTGTGGACGTCTTATATTCTACAGCATACACCTTTATTGATATCTGACAGGCTCTACCAGCAACTAAACTACTCGATACATCTAGAATCTAGATACAAGCTTGGCTTTTATTGGTACGGTTGAGGATCTATAACGTTCCGTAACATTACAATAGATTCTATTTACATCTTGATTCAGAGATGACTCAGCATGACACAGCTACTTCTAGAACATTCTTGAAGGTCAAACTACAATCAACACGTTTATGTTAAATCAAAAGATACCTCCATACTATTAGGAAACTTTCCGGACGATAAATGTACTTTAACTGTTTCCCTCTGAGCGTGAATTGATTTAAGAGCTTTTAGGACCAGGTCCCAAACATAGCCAGGTCAGTACGGGTTGATAATTTTTTTTCCTTGACCATTTCATTTCCCTTATTCTTTTTTTTTATGAAATCTGTTCATCTATGAACAAACGTTGTTCACAGCAAATGGTAACTTCTGGATCGAGGTAACACTGGAGATATTCGGTTACTAACTTGGGGTAAATTTTTCACTGTTCAAGGCGGCCTAGAGCGACCTTAGAACGTTGGGATCATATATTGTTAAAACCAGACATTTGCTATGTTTTTTTAAATAAATTCTAAGGGGAAGGGAAGATCGTTTCAGGAATATCACGAGATTTTGAGAAACATTTACGATAGGACTCGAGTTGAATTTAAAAGATCACCTTCGATTCTCCATATTGGCGGGCAAATATGGGCAGACCAAATGCACTTTCCCATTTTATTGGCAAGCAAAAATAACTGGCACTTTTTAATATCCGTTTCGTGATGAGGTCCATAGACTAAGACTTCATGCCAAATTTCAGCCAAATCGACGTAATGAAGTGGCCGACGAAAGTATGAAAGTTACAGACTATCGCACTTAAGTGCCTTTAACACGTCAAAGGTAATGATTTGTGTCTAGTGAAAATTATGTGAATATCAACTAAAACATCCAATAGATTATTTTTGAAAAACTGGCACATGAAGAAATCACAACCTCAAGCTCCCAAAACAGTATTTAGCATTTTAACTCCCCCCTAAGGATAGTGCGGAAGAGGGTAACCAATATCCACTCCATAAATGTTTTTAGGTCGACACAAGCTTGTTAAGTAGCAGACAGGATTGAAAGCTACCTCTGAACCAGTTTTCGTTTAACTCTCCCTGTCAGCATTATCGGAAAAGTTGCCTGTTTTTATCAACAGTCGCTTAGATTTTATGGAAAACAACCTGTCTTATAACGCGGAGAGGAGATTCTCGATATTATTAAAGGGTTAGCGTTGAATGCTATTTTGTTTCTTACAGCCGGTCAATAAAGGTAATAATCGTTTCAAAAAACTTCTTTACTAAATTTAATATTGCTAAATTTGTAACTTTTATTCCTTACCGCAGTTTGCCCAGTTTCCCTGGTAAACTTCGTCAAATGAACACCATCCGTTGGTACAAGATTGGTAAGTTACTCCTCCATACTCAAAAGGAAAAACCCAGCAACGGCCTTGAGGATCGTCCGTCTTTTTCCCAGGTACACAAGGAAGCCCTGTAGAAGAATCAGAATAATTGTGTTACGTTCTTTACGAAATAAATCTACACATGCACAAAAGCATTCGTTGAACATAACTGATGTACTGTTAAAAGTTTACTCACGCTTTTCGCAGGTGTCTCCTTCAAAATCATCAGTGCATTTGCATGAGAATGAATCAAGACCCGTCATTGTGCATGTCCCACCATTTTCACATGGATGTGACTTACAGGGGCTCACTGAGGAAACGAAACATTATGATTGACAGAGCATTAGTCCGTTATGATTGGCAAATTAGTCGCCTCTATGTTCAAGAAATGTCTAAAATGATCATATTTATCGTGCCTGTACCTTTTTCACAAGATTCTCCATAATATCCGTCGGGACATTTACAGCTGTAAGAATCATCTCCAGTTACTGTGCAATCTCCCCCATTTTGGCAAGGGTTGTTTGTACACGGGTTCACTAGGGTTCATAACAAAACTTTGCATTAGGCAGCCTCGGTTATTTATTTGTTAAGGTAGGTGGATTTGTTTTCCACAGAAAAAATTACCTTAGATATGGAGGGCTTCATCTCAGGAAATGAAATCTGCAAAGGTATTTATGTGCTATTGACACATCAAAGGTAATGATTTGTGTCTAGTGAAAATTTTGTGGCTCGCTGAGGGAAACCAAACTCACTTCGTTGATTATCAACCAAAAAATTCCAATAGACTATTTTGAAAAATTGGCACATGAACAAACCACAACCTCAAGCTCTCAAAGCAGTATTTAGCATTTTTACTCCCCCCTTCATGTTGTACGGAAGAGGGTAACCAATATCCACTCCATAAACTTTTTTGAGTCAACACAAGCTTCTTAAGTAGCAAAGAGGATTGAAAGCTAACTCTAAACCAGTTTTCGTTTAACTCTCCCTGTCAGCATAATCGGAAAAATCACCTGTTTTTATCAACAGTCGCTTAGATTTTATGGAAAAACAAACTGTCTTATAAAGCTGAAAGGAGATTGTCGATATTGTGAAGGGTTAGCGTTGAATGCTATTTTTTTCTTATAGCTGGTCAATAAAGGCAATAATCGTTTCAAAAAACTTCTTTATTGAATTTGATATTGCTAAATTTGTAACTTTTATTCCTTACCGCAGTTAGCCCAGTTTCCCACGTAACCTTCGTCAAATGAACACCATCCGTTGGTACAAGATTGGTAAGTTACTCCTCCATACTCAAAAGGAAAAACACAGCAACGGCCTTGAGGATCGTCCGTCTTTTTGCCAGGTACACAAGGAAGCCCTGTAGAAGAATCAGAATAATTGTGTTACGTTCTTTACGAAATAAATCGACACATGCCCAAAAGTATTTGTTGATCATAACTAATGTACTGTTAAAAGTTTACTCACGCTTTTCGCAGGTGTCTCCTTCAAAGTCATCAGTGCATTTGCATGAGAATGAATCAAGACCCGTCATTGTGCATGTTCCACCATTTTTACATGGATGTGATTTACAAGGGCTCACTGAGGAAATGAAACATTATGATTGGCAGAGTAGTAATCCGTTATGATTGGCAAATTAGTCGCCTCTACGTACAAAAAAATGTCTAAAACGATCATATTTATCATGCTGGTACCTTTTTCACAAGTTTCTCCGTAATATCCGTCAGCACATTTACAGCTGTAAGAATCATCTCCAGTTACTGTGCAGTCTCCCTCATTTTGGCAAGGGTTGTTTATACACGGGTTCACTAGGGTTCATAAAAAAAACTTTGCATTAGGCGGCCTCGGTTATTTATTTGTTGAGGTAGATGGATTTGTTTTCCACACAGAAAATTACCTTAGATATGGAGGAATTCATCTCAGGATATGAAATCTGCAAAGGTATTTATGTGCTATTGACACATCAAAGGTGATGATTTGTGTCTAGTGAAAATTTTGTGGCTCGCTGAGGGAAGCCAAACACACTTCGTTGACTATCAGCTAAAACATCCAATAGACTATTTTGAAAAATTGGCACATGAACAAATCATAACCTCAAGCTCTCAAAACAGTATTTAGCATTTTTACTCCCCCCTACATGTTGTACGGAAGAGGGTAACCAATATCCACTCCATAAATGTTTTTGAGTCAACACAAGCTTCTTAAGTAGCAAAGAGGATTGAAAGCTAACTCTGATCCAGTTTTCGTTTAACTCTCCCTGTCAGCATAATCGGAAAAGTTACCTGTTTTTATCAACAGTCGCTTAGATTTTATGGAAAAACAAACTGTCTTAAAATGCTGAAAGGAGATTGCCGATATTGTGAAGGGTTAGCGTTGAATGCTATTTTGTTTCTTATAGCCGGTCGATAAAGGTAATAATCGTTTCAAAAAACTTCTTTATTGAATTTAATATTGCTAAATTTGTAACTTTTATTCCTTACCGCAGTTAGCCCAGTTTCCCACGTAACCTTCGTCAAATGAACACCATCCGTTGGTACAAGATTGGTAAGTTACTCCTCCATACTCGAAAGGAAAAACACAGCAACGGCCTTGAGGATCGTCCGTCTTTTTGCCAGGTGGACAAGGGAGCCCTGTAGAAAAATCAGAATAATTGTGTTACGTTCTTTACGAAATAAATCTACACAAGCACAAAAGCATTCGTTGAACATAACTGATGTACTGTTAAAAGTTTACTCACGCTTTTCGCAGGTGTCTCCTTCAAAGTCATCAATGCAAGCCAACTGGGAGCTGGTCATGATGGTAGTTCTAAATAAACCCGAAGTGATGAATAGACGGTTAAGAATATATGAAAGTCATATATTTGAACTGCGGATAAAGACGTGAATGAAAGTGATCCTCGCAGTGGGAGTTAGCTCGTTAGCTCAGTTGGTAGAGCGCTGCACCGGTATCGCAGAGGTCATGGGTTCAAATCCCGTACAGGCCTGAATTTTTTTTCAGGCCTTATTTTCACTACTGCCTAGGTAGTGCACATCACTGCGAGGATCACTTTCATTCACGTCTTTATCCGCAGTTCAAATATATGACTTTCATATATTCTTAACCGTCTATCCATCACTTCACGGGTTTATTTAGAACTACCATCATGACCAGCTCCTAGTTGGCTTGTTAGCTCAGTTGGTGGAGCGCTGCACCGGTATCGCAGAGGTCATGGGTTCAAATCCCGTACAGGCCTGAATTTTTTTCAGGCCTTATTTTCACTACTGCCTAAGTAGAGCACATCACTGCGAGGATCACTTTCATTCACGTCTTTATCCGCAGTTCAAATATATGACTTTCATATATTCTTAACCGTCCAAGACTGTTAATGTTCAAACAGACCATTTTGTAAACACGTTTAGCTGTAAAAAACTAGACACAGGACCCGGACTACCTGAGTGAACTTCGTTGTCAATTATCCAACTCTCTCTCCGTCTGACGGATATCCTTACTCGCAAGATTATACATTGCTTGATTAATGTCAAATTGAAACTCTTTTCGCTCTCTCATGTGTGATTCAAAGACTCTGATTGAGTCTTAAATTTATTAAAAGACTGTTCGAATTTTCATGGTAAGTTCCTCTGAGGAAGGCAAGCTCCAAAGGGCCGGCGGCGGAACGGCAAGCCCTAAAGGGCCGGGCCTCGAAGAGGCAATCATTCGTTGTGTGAAAACCAAAACCAAAATCAAATAATTAGCCAACTTTTCGACCAAGTGGTTTAATTATAGGCAAAAAATAAACCAATCAGAACCTTTGAAATCAATCAGCTGATACCTTAAATATTTAATCATCTTTTGCTGATGATTAAATACTTAGTTGTGTTGAATTTGCGTATCCTTTGTAAAGACAATATTCAACCTGTTCGTTGTCTTTTCAAATTCAAACCTTGTTTCGTTATGTTTACGAGTGATCTTAATTTTTTTTTTTTAAATTCTCCTTTAATCTGCTCCCTAATAACGTCAACGTCAACTTAGTTTGCTTTTCTCCCAAGCTGGTTTTTTAACGTATAATACTGTGCGATCTGACGCAAAATCAAGTCGAAATCAACATCAGAGATTGATCCATCTTTGATTGCTTTTGAAAAAAACCTGCCTACTGTAAGGTCCTTTGCTTTAACGATTTAAGTTGTTTTCTCGTGCTTCGTGATTTTCGAATTAAGCGTTTTGCACCTGACCGTAAATGCTGTTGATATGGAGCCAATAAAGCAGCGAGACCTGCCAGAGGCGGTCCGGCAATTATCCCAATTTCACTCAGAGAAACTGTCAGACCGCTTGATGACAAAATGGCAGGAATGACACCAGTCATAGTGGATGTTGTGTGACAGATGCGTCTCACTTTTCCATACTTATTTTTATAATTCTTGTGATGGGAAATTTCATCCTGAAGTTCTTTTTGACAATCTTCAAAGTTGTTTTCTATAATCTTCCTGCATTGTAATCTTATCCTCCGGTATTGGTGGATAAAGTTTTGGAGCACTTGGGCCACAAAGCGGCTCTTGACTCATGGGGCTTCGCAAAATATTTTCGGAAGACATTTTTAAATCATTAAACTATCTCTAACTCAAACCTCAAAGGAAAGGCCATTGAAGTTTAAGATCTCGTTATTCTCGTCGGTCACGAAAATTTGCAAAGATGTGATGTCATTCCTCGGTGATATTTTCCGTTGAGTTGGGTATTCAAAATAAGAGTTAACCCTTGTAACGAATGGTACAGTAGACGGACCTTCACGTTATAACAAGTAGAAACCATTAACTATTTTAATACAATAGTTGATCCAACACAGAGGTGAGACACAATGAATAGTCAAAGTCTAAAGATGGTATTTGATAACAGCATTCGTCCGAACCCTGTCTGTGGGGTTGCTCGACAATCTCGAAGCATCCAAGAACGCTTGAGGACTCTCCATTGAATGCGTTTTCATTCTTATCCAAAAGATCACAGTTGACAAGGTAGTTGGTTTATGATTTAAACCTTTTGGATAAGTTGATGGTTTGAAAACGTCGTTTAGTTCCAAGAAGATCAGCCAGATCATTGTCAAGACGGGTATGCTTATTTTGAGGATCGAGGATTTCCAATACTCCTCTCAGAGTATTCATTTCAACCTTCAATCCTTCACTCTTCAGTGTATCTTGAATAGCGAAGTAGTGTGGGTTTTGAGTGAATAATCACCCCCAGGAATTTTCTCTTTAGTTGGAGTGCCTTGTGCATTCATTACGGAGACTCAACCAGAACGACTTAAATAATACCAAATGTTGACAAAAGAACAGCTTACTGGCCTAATATAATGCTATTTTTCGCTACATAGCGGCTTTGTGAAGCGAACTGTGAGATCATTTGAATCTGTAATAATTTTCAAAAGAACCATTTTATTTATAGAACAATAAAAATCTACAGCTTTATACTTCATACTTTATACTGCTTCATATTTTTTTTAACTAACCACTTCACAAAAATTATCTTAAAATCTGATGATTTGCTGAATTCCATGTTCTTGGTTAAAGATTAATTAACGTGAGCTCATCGTCCACCTCTGGTTGTGGACATGGCGTGTTAAACACACCATGTTTTGCTCTATTATCGTGTTCTAAGATGTCTTTCTTCCGTTTCTATTTCTAATTCATAAACCAACATAGAATCAAATACATCTATGCTCAAAGTTATTTTACGTATTCAACAACACTCAACATTCGATGATATGGATTGTATCTTGCGTTCTGGATGCGTTGGTTCTGAAAGTCGAGTCCTCGGTTTTATAAAGGTAGTTTATTACCATCTAACCTCTGCTTAAGGAATCACATAGTTGAGTTTGGCCAACGTTTTTAACCAATTTCAGGAGGTAGCTACCCCCTAACGGGAGCTTCATGTTCATCACTGCGTCTTGTTTTCGTTTCATACGTGATAAAATTTATGATTCTTCGCCCTGTAGATAACAATAGTAATCTGACAGCACGAGATACGGAGTAGGTTACATTAAACTGAAACAAATGAAAATGGTCTCGGTCGCTCATACCGGACAAAATGCCCGTGGCGACTAAAAATCATTCCTTTTAGCCTCTGTTTCTTGGTTACCATACCTTCTAGAAAGAATTCTAAAGTGGCAGTCCGGAATTTCATCTAAATTCAATTTGTATTGAAAATTCTCCCGAAAAAAAATGGCTTGGCATGTGCAAATAAAATGAAACTAGGTGGCTAGATAAACACATCTGCTAATTCAGTCAATCATTCATTAAGCGTAAAAATAGGTGAGGATTCTTGCGGAAAATCGCATGATCTTTGAAAGGCACTGTTACAAAATAGAACCTTGGAAGTGAAAAAGATAATTTTATTTTTATTTTTAATTTCCGCTTGAAGAATTTCCTTTTTTTTCGGTATTTCAACCTCCGTGATGTTTGTTTTCATGGTAACAGATTATCTCATATAAAATTTGCTTTCGTAATACAAATATTCTGATCTGTGTTTGTCAAAATAAAACAGACGTGATGAATACAATTAAATAATTACTCTTAAGTAATTTCAGCGAGAATTTTAGAAGTATTCCAAGAAACCCCATCCTGAGGATAGACTACTCGGTAAGTTTAACTGAAGCTTTACAATTGATCTCCTATTAACTCTTCAGATATTATCCCTTTCACTTAATTAAAAAATATAAATGATCGTTCCCCAGAGTCTCTCCTAAACCACAGGATTTTCGGGCGTTTTAATGGCCACCTCTCTTCAAGAAAACAATTTCAAGAGCTTTGATCTACACATGCTCTGTTAGACAAGATTTGTACGTAGACGGTTGGCTGTATAAACTATCCTTGCTGTAAACGTTCTTTACCTTTACTTACTGGACGGTATTTACTTCCAAGTTCAGATCACAAATTTTTGGATGCTTCATAAACTTAAGAACTCAATTTGCAAAATTTTGGAATCTGATGTAACCTTGAAGATAATTCTATAACATATGTGCGTATCACCTAGCTGATCGAGAAGCTTATGTTTAACGCGTTAAATACTGTGCAAAATAATAGATGCTAATGTTTAAAAGAGGACTTGGCGGGGTAGAGGGTGTGGTAAAGTTTTGCCTCCGATTAGAAACTCGAAAGCAGGACAATGATAGGGAACGCGAATGAAATTGATAAAATTTATTAGTAAGTTTTCGTCTGGTCTCGCTTTCGGTTGCTTTTGCCGTAAATCAATTGAGCGCAAGGTTTTTGAATTCACATAAAAATGTTCATTCTAAGGAAAGAGAAAAAAATATTATAACTCCAAAAAAGCATTCACTGGACTCTCTTATTTCTTAAATTAAGTCAAAAAGCTCTTTTCAAACCAAGTTTAGACAGTATTATTCTGCTCAGCTTTTGTTGCCATCAATTTACCTTAAGTCATCGCTACATCAATTTTTAAAAAGGAATATGAATGGTGGTAAAATCGGACCGGCCTGATGAAAAGGTCCGTTTATCAACCTGTGTTCTCCGGCTGGCTCAGTTAAATCTATCATTCTGATGAAATAATCCATTAGCAACTGGTAAGAGCTTCCATTACATTTCCTGTTTCGTTCTTTTAAAATTAACCCTGTAGAGAGCATGATGCCCAGCAATGGAAAGCCTCTTGAATGTGTATGAGACAAAATCTTTACTAAGATCTTTGTTCATAATGAAACTGAAATTGATGGAATATATTCTGGCATGTACAAACAATCCTATGTTATATGACAAACTATAACTGCTTATTTACGTATTATTTTTTTGTAATATGAGATGGAGGTGAAACCACCCCTAATGGGGCCGTTAAACCATAATACTTTAGAACTATTTGAAGTGAAAAAGACACTTCGTCCATTTTTATCTCCTTTTTTCAGATATTTCCTCTCTATGCTATTTGTTCCTATATCTTTACACGGCTCCTAGTAACGTATAAATAACAAAAATTGTTTTCATCTTGTAATATAAATATGTTATACCGTGTTGGGTAAAACATTAACTACATGCGGCTCTTATTTTATCAATATTGCAATAAATAGCCCCCTAAGGAAAGACCCAGTGGTAAGTTTAATCCAATCGCTCATTACCTCATTAAAGGAAACTTAATACAACAGACTAGAAACTAAGTCTGATCCTGTCCTTACGGGGTTAGGGAAACTGCAACGTTACGTAACTGGAACAATGTCGTATAAAAGGAATCTCTGATCTATCTCCGTCGATCTCCTAGCTCCAACTGACTCGATACTGAAGGGGCGTACCACTATAAGGGTATAATTCACGTGTTCAATTGCAAACTGGTTTATCAATTGTACAATAGTACACTAGGAAAATTGGGGCGTAAACTCGACAAAGAAACAAGACAGAACTTTTTTCCTACTTTAAATCAAAACAAAACGATTACGTAATCAAAGTCTTCTTCGAATGTTCATTACAAGTGTAGAAAAATAAAGGAGACATTAATGGCCAGTTATCGAAACAAATTGTAGCCGTTGTTTGACGAAACCACTTCCTCAACAATCCTTAATTTACCTGGGCCTTTTATCTGAACATTTGTTTTTGGGAACAGTGTCAAGAGGGCTGAAATTCTATAGTGGAAGACCTTGGTACCGACTAATGATAAGCATCCTAAATGTGCATTTTTATTCGTCAAATTGTAAAACGAAAACATTCCGTGAGTAACATAACCATAACTATAACATTTATTTGTGATTAGACTGAAATTGAAGAAACATATTCTTGCAAGAACAAACAGACCCATGTGGTATGACAAAATCAACTGTAATTATTAAATTTTTGTAATGCAAATATTTTACACCATGTTGGGCAAAACAGTACCTGGCTCTCATTCTAGTAATACCGCTAGTAACAGTCCGGTAAGCAAAGAAAGGTAGGTAAGTTTCATTCAATGTCCCACTAAGTACCGCTTAATCGTTATTTTACATTAAAACTAAGATAGAGTGAGACTGAATTATCAAAGGTTATCAACCAAACGATTTTAAAGCATCCTATAGAAAATGTTCTTCCGTGATAAACAGTATCAATTGAACGCATTGCAAAAACCTATCGGGAGAATAGAAGATACATTAAAAGTAACGACAACAGTATTGTACAAGTTGTACTTATAGATGGTAAAAGTATTTTAAGTACGCTTTTACTAAAGGCACCAAGAACTCTCGACCTGTCTTTTTTCATTCTTCTTACATATCTTTTCTGTAAAACGAACTTAGTAACACCTACAACAAACTCACTTCAATCTGGTTAACTCTGGTCGTCTCCCTAACTCCGTTCCCTTCCTCGCTCTTTCCCACTCACCACTTCTCACTCTTCTATTTCTTACTGACTTCTAATTGAACTCTCTTAAATGCTTTTAAAAATGCTTAAATATTCGCTATTGGTAGGCATAAGTGGGCATGCTGGCTAACTGATCTTGGAAGATTAAACATTTGTTGTCAAAACTCTGTAACCCTCATGCTTTAGCGAAACTCTCACAAATGAACAACTCCACACTTGAATGCTTCCCATCAACCAAATCAGTCTTTAACTGAGTTCGTATGGCACCATGTTTTCTTTCACATGCGGCTCCTGTTCTGTGCGCTTGAGCTCTGCTCATATTTATTCGTGATTTAAACGGGATACGCTGCTACTCCGGTAATTTGCTGTCTAAAGGCAAACATTATCTGCTGATACATGGTAGCAGGATTGTTCCATCAGACCACAAAATCTGCAAATAGTTTCACTTTACTAACAAAATAACGATGTAATTATCAACTGGGAGTTCAGCTGTTTATGTGAAAAAAAAAAAAAAAGCTGACGCAATTTTATTCCCTTTCAGCGCCTACAACAAGAAAATATGCAGTCATCGCCGACATATATCTTCACACTACTCGTTTTGAGTGTGGATATTTTTTTTGGTAGGTACTTAATGCATGTTTTCAAGCTCAAGATTATATGCTCAGAGAGTATGAAATACACTGGCTTGGTTCTGATTCATTCTAATGCATATGCGCTGACGAGATTGAAGGAGACAACTGCAGAAAACGCAAGTCAGTGCTTCAACTATCGTAGGATAATCGATTTATGCATTTGTAGATTCTCTTTCGCGGAACATAGCACAGTCTTATGATTCTTGCACAGGGCTTCCTTGTCCACCTGGCAAAAAGACGGACGATCCTCAAGGCCGTTGCTGTGTTTTTCCTTTTGAGTATGGAGGAAAAACTTACCAATCTTGTACCAAGGTAGCTCATCACAGATTGTGGTGTTCATTTGACGAAGTTTACAAAGGACAATGGGCTAACTGCGGTAAGAAATAAATATTACAAATATGGCAATTTTAAATTCAATAAATAAGTTTTTGAAACCATTATTACTTTTATTGACCGCCTGTAAGATGCAAAATAGCATTCAACGCTAACCCTTCAGAAATAGGTTACCGAGGCCGCCTAAAGCAAAGTTTTTGTTATGAACCCTAGTAAACCCGTGCACAAACAGCCCTTGCCAAAATGGGGGAGTCTGCACAGTAACTGGAGATGACTCTTACAGCTGCAAATGTGCCGACGGATATTATGGACAAACCTGTGAAAAAGGTAGAAGCACGATAAATATGGTCGTTTTAGACATTTTTTGCAAATAGAGGCTATTAATTTCTTTTATTATTATTTAAACATATTTATCATTGTTTTCCCCAAAAGCGCCAAGGCATAACGAGGGGGATTACAGTGTTACAAATATAAAATCAATTTATTCAGGCTCACACAGGAACAAACTCATAACCAACACACACAAGTTGCAATACAACGAGTTAAACTTACTAAGCTAGGAATATATTAATTAAACAATCAAACAATGGCCTCAGAGAAGCGATTAGTGTTAATTATAAAACTTTGTACTTCGCGAAAAAAGGTACAGCTGACGTCGTAATTTACAGACTCATCACCGTACAATAAAAAATTTAGTTTCCTAGCATCACCGCCGGATGACCATGTTTCAGCTAGAATATTAGCAGTAGAGGTAAGGAGGACCTCACGTTGAGCGGCATACCTCGGGAAATACAAGAAAAAGTGTTTCACCGATTCAGAATCAAAACTGCACTCGCAAATAAGCGACACACAACTATTAATTTTGAAGAGATATTCTCTTAGTATAGGTAATCACATGATTTCGAGTACAATTTCGATAAGCACGAGTAAATTTTTTTAAGACTAACAAAATTGCACGAGCCCGTTGGGCGAGTGCAATTTGTGGCCTTTGAAAAAATTAACAAGTGCTTAGTTATTACAAATTGCACGAGAAAAATTATGTAATTACGTGTTAATAATATGTATAAAAAAATACGAGAGAGCTTATCATAATTAATTAAGCAGAAGAAAAGCGCGCATCAAGTGCAAAAATAATTTATTTAAACCGTGTACGATCAAAAAAATAATATACAATGATATCTTCACATCTTTAAGGCGCAAAAAAGTTTAAAGTCCGGCTAAACAGTTCAAGGAATTGTTCAGTCTGTCCGAATCACTATCAATGAAATGGAATCGTCGTTTCCGAGGTTTAACCATGTAATTTTCGATTTCCTTGGCAATTCCCTTCTTTAAACACAACTTTTTCCAAACCAAAAACCAAAAACCAGTGCTTTTAGCAGTGTTTTCGTTGTTAGAGCTGTTTTTCAGCTGCGGTGGTGAAATAAAACTTACTCAAAACACCGGCCATTGTTTCGCTCGCAATTTTTTAAATTTTCAAATTTTGTTGCGATATCTAAGGCTCGCATTTGATTGGCTATCTGTGAGTTTCTTGCATTATTGACCAATTAGAATGTATGGTTTGTTTAAGAATTTGTTCCTGCTTAGCGCGCGTATACCGAGTTAAGGATGCACGCGGGAAGTTTGGAGAGCACGAACGGCTAGAGATTGGCGTTTATTGTGAATCGGAGCAGGCGGTCCCGCCTCTTAATTGACAGGCGCACTTTACTATACATCCATGTTTAATCCTTAGCAAGTAGTGTTACCGTTTTCAGTGGAATGTACTTCTCAATAATCAAACGAAAGTAGCCATACCACCTTGACTATATTTCATCTATGTCTTTAACATTTTCATACAAAGAGATCCAGTCTGATTCCCCATTCATATTTGTAGTGTCGACGTTATTAAAATTCCACACCCGCCTTTTGTAAGATCGACTTCTGTAAGCGAAGATATTCATATTTGAGAAGATAACAGAATGGTCACAACTGGAAGGGGGATTTAAAGTCCCAGAAGTACTAAAACGCCCTGGAAAAGTTGTGGTAACTAAATCCAATATCGTCAAACTGTGACAAGTGACACGAGTTGGCTCCGCTATCAGCTGTGCCAAGTTGTTATTTTCTAAGAAACTGTATAATTTTTTTACCTACATCATTATTCCCTGATGGATTTGTAGAGTCGTAATGAGCATTGAAATCTCCCAATACAACAACCCTATATTGTTTCGGTGGTTGACGAATTTTATCAAGAAACAGCTCAAAATATTCGAAGAAATTAGCAAGGAAAACAATATCGTCATCATCGGGCGGCCTGTAACAAACGCCACAGGGAACATCAAGGTGTGATGCGGAATTCAATCCAAAGGAATTCTATGGCGTCAAATTCCAAATTTAACCTACGCTTAGCCACGAGGGTACTAACCGTGAAGAATGCAACTCCACCACCTATTCTGTCGTGCCTGTCAAGTCGGATAATAGGGTTGTACCCTGCAATTTGTAAACAATCACTGCACACGCGATCGTTGAGCCAGGTTTCCGTGACTGCAAAAACATCAAACTCATCATCTCTCACCAGCAAAGAAATCTCTTCAAACTTGTCACCCACGTTCAAACTTCTGGCATTTAAGTGATCGAACTTGAAAAAAGGTTCCGGATTTAGTTCAACATCATTAGACAAAACTATTCTAAGAACGATACAGACTGCAATCCATAAAATAATATATTAGACTAAATACCACATCGTTAGAGGACAGCATAAACTTACGAAAGGTACAAACTAGCACTGGGGCAATATGATAAATATGGTCCAAACATTCATTGAATATTAAAGAAAATGAATCCTGTGGTTCGTCGTTACTTAAAAATAAATAGTTTCAAGATTTAAACAATAGTTCATATTTTGTCAACCACTAATTAATAAAAACATGAAGTCTTCGACCATCTGACTTCGGTTTTAAAGAATCTTCCCGTCCGAAGTTCAGGAAGCATCAGCATTAACACACTTAACTCAAGCAGTGTAAAATAGTTTCTGGGTGGATTTTGGTTACCCTCTTCATTGATGTAAGGGCCAGAAAATCCTAAAGATTTTTTAAGTTCTTCATTATTGTGAGTTTATCCTTGTGCCTTTTCAAGCAAACAAAGATTGCTCTATTAGCTCCTTCCTCTTTCTCACCTACCCGGTTAGCTCTGTCAACTGTATCATCGCTGACTTCCAAACCAATTTTTTCCCTGCCATAGACACAAATCATTACCTTCGATGTGTCAATGGCACTTAAATACCTTTGCATATTTCATTTCCTGAGATGAAGCCTTTCATGTTTAAGGTAATTTTCTGTGTGAAAAGCAAATCCACTTACCTCAGCAAATAAATAGCAGAAGTCGCTTAATGAAAAGTTTTGTTATGACCTTAGTAAACCCGTGCACAAACAACCCTTGCCAAAATGGAGGAGTCTGCACAGTAAATGGAGACGACTCTTACAGCTGTAAATGTGCCGACGGATATTATGGACAAACCTGTGAAAAAGGTACAAGCACGATAAATATGATCGTTTTAGACTTTTTTTTTGCAGATAGAGGCTATAAATTTGCTAACCATAATGGACTACTACTCTGCCAATCATAATGTTTCATTTCCTCAGTGAGCCCTTGTAAATCACATCCATGTAAAAACGGTGGAACATGCACATTGACGTGTCTTGATTCATTCTCATGCCAATGCACTGATGACTTTGAAGGAGACACTTGCGAAAAGCGTGAGTAACGTTTTGACAGTACATCAGTAATGTTAAGCTTAAGCTTTTGTGCATGTGTAAATTAATTTTGTAAAGAACGTGACGCAATTATTCTGATTCTTCCACAGGACTCCCTTGCCCACCTGGGAAAAAGACGGACGATCCTCAAGGCCGTTGCTGTGTTTTTCCTTTTGAGTATGGAGGAAAAACTTACCAATCTTGTACCAAAGTAGCTCATCACAGATTGTGGTGTTCATTTGACAAAGTTTACAAAGGACAATGGGCTAACTGCGGTAAGAAATAAGCATCTCAAATTTGAATACAAAACAAAACTTATTGTGGGATCATCTGCTAGAATAGCCATTTTTTTCATAAAATGTACTGTTTGTTATTGGAACTAAAAAATGTAGATGCTACTGTTTAGAGGTAGGAAATTTTAGGGAAGTCTTTCAAAAAGTGTTTTAGAGAACCTTTCATGAGGTGTTACTGAGAAACCCTGAATAAACATTTGGACAAAACACACGAACGCAGTTGGTATTACGGGCATGATCTTATGGGATACACTTTTCCGGTTAGGGATATGAATTCACCTTTTGTACCAGAGAGGCTTAAGTGCAACTTTCATTTTACATTTTTTGCTCATGCTTTACTTGATAATGTAATGTTTTCAATGATTTATGCATCGCCCAGAATGCTATTGTCTTTCGCGACATGTACTTGCAGTGCCCATTTAATCAGCGGGCAGCATAATAATTTGCATATCCTGAACTAGTCGGTTGTGATTGGTCAGCAGGTAAAGCTTTGGGAATACATGAGTCTCTTTGCAGATTTCAGCTGCTGTCAATGGCCCGATTTATACTAGAGACGGATCATCCGTCTAGACAGATCATCCGTCATACGGATAATCCGTCCAAGTATAAATCCGAAGACGAATTTTGACGAATAATCTGTCTAGATATAAATCGTTCGCGAGTTTCACGACGGGTGTCTCGGTGTTGAGCCGAGTGGAAGCCTGGCGAGAGCTTAAATATGGCGGCTCTCGTAGCCTTGTTGATGAAATCGAGAAAAACAGCATTGGATATGGCGGTATATCAGAGAAGAATATCCTCTGTCAAGCGCACGTTTGAGCCGGAAATAGCTTAATGAAGTTCATGTTACCCTGTCTCTCGCTAATCTTGCTCAAGATAGGAAGACAAGAAGTAGAGATGAGATAAGAAACAAGAAATGGTGGGAGGACGGCCTTCAATATTGTATTATGGGTCATATATAACTTCTGCGAAGACGTCCGTGTCTTGATCTGTCCAAGTCAACTTCTTGTTTGCTTTTTCCTTCTTTTTTGTGATTGCTTTCGAGGGCACGATTACTTTACCGGACGCCATCTTGAAATAGGCATCCCAGGAAACCTTGCAAAACTATAGAAACCAGTCTCTCTCATATGGAAACTTCGTCAAAAACCGTCTTCGTTTTCCGTCTAGATAAAAATTTAGAGACGGATGATCCGTCTAAGACGAGCTATTCGTCTGTTAGCACGTCTTGAAGACGTGCTGACAGACGGATCAGCCTGAGACGAATTTTGCTCCATAATTCGTCTTAGTACCGAATTTATATTTAGACGAGTTATCCGTCTGAGACGGATAATTCGTCTCTGACGGATAACTCGTCTCTAGTATAAATTCGGCCAATCAAACGGTTGGATGCGTAAAGTAAATCCCAAGGTGACATAAAGTGAACAATAGCAATAATTAACAATAGCCACGCTCTTAACAAAGCGTTTAGCAAATTCGATTGCAGCGAATTCTTATATGAACTGACAGACTCCCGTTGGTCAAAATGTTATCGGAATTATAAAAATTAGTATCATGGAAATAGAAAATAGAAAAAAGAAAAATTTAGAAAAAAAGTATCATGAAGAATAGGCGGTTTAAAAGCGTAAGTTGCGATCAGGCGGTTTTCGAGTGCGAAAGGCTTGTGGTTGCGGACTGGCAACAAACGCCTGATTGAAGGTTATAAAAAGCGGTGCTCAGAAAGCCAGCTAATCTGTGATCAAGTGAAATTTTAGTTTCATTCAATCTTTGTCTTAAATGTGGTTTTGGTGCGCCCCTGTATTAAAGAGAATAAGGAGCGCGAAAAAATGGCCTAATCACAGTTTTAGAGCGAGCGCGATGCGTGGGTCACTCGCTTTTACTTGACACTTGCGTTGTCATACCCCACTGAAAAATTTTGATGGTTAAACAGGGCTTTTCTTCCTTGTTTACCCATCAAGAAGAAGAGTTATGCGATGACAAAAAAAGACAACAACAACAATTGCAGAAGAGACTACGGTGGCACCCCGTTAATATGACCACCAACGGGCCATGGAAATCTATCCGTATTGACGGGTGTAAAATATTATCACTCACTTGTACTTCACACTCGTGCTCTTTTTCTCCACCGATTAACGCAGTCCGACCAAACAGAAGAAAAAACAAGCAAACTGACTAACAAACGGCCGCCACGAACAGATTGACGGCCGAGGGAACAGTTACATAATTATTCACAGTTTGATCCGTTTTTAATAATCAAAACATATATATAAATAGCACAGTTTCATTCAATCCAATCAGTAGCTAAAACTTATTTGCAACAACATGTCGAAGCGTGCGAGACATCAGCCAGGCTTTTACGCAACATTATTGAATGATGTTCGCCATCGTGGCCTTAATTCGAAATACCGACCGAAGGTAAAACCTACTGTTATGGGCGTTTACGAAGTTGAACGCATTGTAGCAAAACGAGTTCAAGGAGGCAGAGCAGAGTACTTCATCCAATGGCAAAGCTACTCCCCGAGTGAAAATACGTGGGAACCAGCCGAGCACTTACCCGAGGAACTCATCACTGCCTTCGAGAACAGATCTGTCGATCCATTTCGCGCCGATGAATGCCGAGAGAGACTAGCTCTTTTATTTGAGAAGGGTTTAAAATCGCCCCTGGCATGCAACGAAACTATCACGATACGGCACGATGTAGTGCGAGCGCTCTTTCCTGGTTTGCCATCAGACCTCCGTGGGTCTCCGTACCTCGCTAGTGAAGAGGAACTGATAGCAGCAGGCCTTGGTCCTTATCTGAAGAGGTGTTTAACAGTAACAGGCGGCGGATGTCGGGTTGACGCTCCAGTCAGCTTGAAGCTGTTTCTTGGCAAGTCGCTTTCCTTCGTAGATGAACAAGGCCACAAAACAGCTCCCCGCCCGGTAGAGAAAGTTCAGATCAAGTTTACGAAGAGTTATTTCGCCGGACGCATCCAGTGAGCCAAAGGCTGCTTTTACGAAAACGGCTTCTTTAGAAGCCACCAAATGGAATAAAAGTTTATGAGCAACAGTGGTATTCATCCATAGCTACACAATTACTTATTGATAAGTCGAGACAGCTTTTCCAGATAACAAATTTATTTAATTTTTACAATTTTGGTCGCGGCTTTCACTATGTCTGTGAACCTACGGAAAAAAAAGACATCGGTTTTAATTCTTAACAGTCCAATTGTTTTCTCCAAATAAATTATTCTGATGTTGCGGGCAGATTGGTAAGAAATTAGACCTTAGTGAAAAATTACTAACATCATGCCGCAACTTTTGGGCTCAATTACAGACTCGAGAGAGCGGCGGAGATCGACGGAATCGCACATACGATAGCCGCAACCAGTATTATCGTTCATTTTGCATGAAATACGTTTTTCACGAATATTTAACACAAAATAGTCATTTACCGGTATTCTGGTTCTCCAGAATTTCCTGGACACCTGGCTGCAAGGCCACAAACTGAAGTGCCAGCAACACCATAAAGTCCCTGTTTAAAGTTGACAGTTCCGGAAATGACCACTAGAACAATAAACTTCAATTTTTTTCTCTTTGAAGGGCATAAAATGAAATGAAAAATGAAAAATCCAAAAGATACTAACCATCTCTGAAGGGGATCCATTTGTTGGGCGACCTAAAATCAGGGGAGATTAATAAGATTTGGTCCAAATTCACGCCATTTGCGAGTTTCAAAACGCGACATGTGAGATTTCTCTGTTTGAGAAATTGCTATGAAAATAATGACTTGTTATTCATATTTATTAAAATGGATATGAATAAATTCTACTTACATCACCTGACTGGGCCAAGTGCCCTCCCAGGTATGCGCCCAGCTCCTCTAAAAAGCTGGCAACTTGGCCATCAGTGAATGTGAGCTGCAAAATGAAATGTTTGGTGATCTTGAAAAACTATTCTATGTTCGAAGCTCAGCTCAAGAATGTGGCCTAGTTGCCAAGAGTCCAAATTAAGAAAATGAAGAATTTTTTACCGTTATTAACTCATCTTGAGATGACATGTCTCTCTCACTCAACGCGCGAAACAAAGGGACTCAGAGACTCAGAGCTTACGACGACTAACAACAATACTTCCGCCAAGCGGTTGTTCGCTAAGATTGTCTGCGCGCGCTCATTTTACATCAGAAAGAAAAAGGCGGCGACGGCGATTGAAATGTGGACATTCTCAACGTTTGGAAAGACCCTGGAAAAAAGGTACGTCTTCAAGCCCATCTAAATATTTAACTTCTCATTTTGTTTTCTGTTGTGAAATAAAATGCTTTTTAATACTTGTTAAGGACGGTTATCAGGTGTTTTATATTTGAATCCGGGCCTAAGATAACTTGGATTCTCGTCAATTTACATGGTGCCTTTTTGCTCACTATAAAATTGGAGTCGAGAGAAAAGGGAATAAAATATTTTTAATATAGGAGTGCTTCACCCACCACCCATTATGATAAGCTTGGACAGAAACTCAGGAGAGGTCAATGGTATAAACACAGGCTCATTCATTGGTCATCGCTTTCATGTATTTGGTGGCTCCTAAAGGAGCCGTTTTTGTTTTGAGTGTGAGTGACTCAGGGTTACTCAGATCTGGGCTGTGTGTCTGAGCTCAATAAAGCATTTATTAAGTCTTGCTTTCTGGATTTGAGATTCATTTTCTTCCCTGTTCTCTGCTCGAGCAGGGTAATGAGGTCAGGAACTTTCTTCTTCTTGAGGACACTTTCTGTCTTTGCTTGTGGCGTTGGTGTTGCTGACGGAATTGAGGTTGAAATTCTAGCAACCTTTTTTGCAGCCTTCTGCTTGCCACCATCCATCCAATATAAGCTGTCCCTCTTTTCATATGGCCGTTTAGCTCTTTCTTCCTCTCTTAGCTCCTCTTGCCTTTTCTCCACCAGCAGCAGGTTTGTTGCAGCATCCCATCTGTTGATTTTACGGTGGAAATACCGCCGCAAATCATCATTCTTCTTCTCAACACCTGTTATTAAATGTCATGTTACTTTTCTTAATTGCAGGTCTGGCTTCTTACAACTTCCAACAATGCCAAATAATGAATTTATCTTGAGTATTGTTACAATGGATCTATAAAATAAAGTGAAGATACATACCTTGGCCACTAAACATTTTAAGGCTTCCATGGTTACGCAGCATTACTGGGACATGGTACACCAAGCTGTGCATACATGGGGTGATGATTATGGTCTGAGAATACCCAGGACCAGTGCCAGACATGTTCACCATCTGTTTTCCCCAACTCTGTGCCTGCAAGAGTAAGCAAATTTTTTTGTTACATAGTTATGAAAAACCTTGTTACTATAATGATATTAATATATGATCAGTCTTATGTTTTGTATGTGTATTGTGTTATCTTACCTTGGTTTCAAATGCTGAAATGTCATCATCTGTCAAATTCTCTTTGTTTAAGATGTCTAGCAGCTCTCTGAAATTCTGAAATCACAGGCAAGCAAGATGATAAGTAAGTTTTTACATACTTGTAACAGGTCTATTATTGTAGCTTGAATTTATCAAGCAATTGAAAATGCTTGGATCTTTACACATTATATATATATATAATATGTATACTAGACTGTGTGCATGTGCTCATGATGTAATTTGCCCCTGCTGTGTCCCAAAAATTCTCGATACAAACTAATTTAGGATTGCATTACTACGTGAACACAATAAATACATACCATCCATAGTTGGCGGGTTACCTCAACTCTTTCTGGAGGAAGAAACTTATGGAACAAATCAGGCAGCTTCTTTAGTAAAATCCTTTTTTCTCCACCCAAAAGAGAAGTCCACTCCAATTTCTCACCAACCCAGTAGACACAGAGGCTCACACCCAAGGAACGCACGGCTACAAGAAATTCTTGTAAGTGAGTCTCAGACTTTTGTCTTTTGTGGTTGTCATCCTGCAAACATACATGGTTGCATTAGTTTCCATGAATATGAAAATACTATTTTCTTATGTTTATTGTGTTGGGTTCAAATGTCTTAAGTAAGATGAGTATATTCCTTGGAACAGGAAAATTTTTGCTGGAATTTCTCTAAGGTCACAACAAAAGGGCATGTTTGATATTTACCTTATCCCATTTAGTAATGTCATAGATAAGTCCTTCCTCTAACTGGTCTGTTATTCTTAACATTAGGTGAAGCTCATCTAGGACAACATTGCTGACAGGAATTGTAAAGAATGGCTCTGAATGGCATCCTGGCTGTTTGGACCAAGTACTATCAACTATCCGCAACAGCTCTGCACTTTGAAAGTGAGTACATTTAAGGGACATGTTGCACCTAGAAATCAGTAAATAATGTCGGTTGCTTCTTCAAAAATGAGAAATGTAACTTAGGAACATTTGCAAATGCTTCATATCTTCCTTATTACAGATTAAGATAGAAGTTTTGCAAAATGATATGAGATTGTGATTAGAATGTTACAAGATCTTGTTTACCTGTCATTCTTAAGAATTTTACACCAAATACAGCTGTTGTTGGAGGTGGCAGCCTTCATTCCCATTGCTAGGAGTAGGAACTGTTGTAAACAATATAAAGTTCATGTACATTATATAATAATACAGTGGGATCTTGATTACTTAATCCTTCCTGAGGGTTAAATTATAGTGAAACAAATCCAATGGCAATGACTTTTTGTTTGAGTTAAATCCAGATCTTTTGTTAAAAAATGCATACTGTCAGGAGAAATAACTACTTTTTCAAAATGTTAAAGAGTATGTACATGAAACTTAATTTACCTTGTAATCTCCTCCCAGGAAGAATTCTAAATTAACTTTCTGGCCATCAACCACAATATGACCCTCTTTGATGGTGGTATTCACATCACAGATGACATTTGTTAGTGATGCTTTTAGAGTCTGGTACTCCTCCTTTCCCTTGATGATGGCAATGGTGTGGTTTCCTACAAAGGATAATTTTTTTAAAAAATTCATTAAACTTCCAGTGTGTGAGAGACCACCTCAAGCATGTTTTGCTGTCAATGTCTTTAGTTTTCGATGTTGAAATTGTGCATATAAGGGAAATTTTTAAATAGTGTTTGTATTTTTTTTTTCAAATCATGCTACATGTAAGGTGGCATTCGTCTAAAACTGGTTTAGTTGTTTGATAAATAGTTTTAAAAGTTTAATTTTATTGTGATACAGTTATGCTGTTGTTATAAAGAGAAATTTCATGTTGGTTGCTCTTCCTATAAGTAACTTACCTGAGCTTGACAAATAATTTTGTCCATTCTCCACAATGGCAAATGAACACACAAAAACATTGCTGCTGTGGGACATTCTGGTGCCATCTCCTGATATCTTCACTTTAATATTTTGCAAAGGCAATTCAATATTCTTCAGCTATGAAAAGAATACAACACAGGAAACAATTAACATTCTCTTTTTTGGCTTAACTTATTGTATAGTTGGCAATATCTCTTTGACTTTAATATCAAACATTTTAAACATGCTCAAACATGTTTGGGCTGATATGTGAAAAGGATTTTTTGTATCTGGAGACTTTTGCATTGGGCATCTAATACATTAGTCAAAACAGATTATAGTACAACTTACATGCTGTCGAACTTCATGCTTCAGTAGAAGTTTGAACGGCAGCTCTGCACCTGGAGCATCTCCTGGTGTCCGTGTGACTTGCCACTTACTGTCCAAAACCTTGGTGTAGCTTTCAATTAAATATGTCCTGGGGAAACTCTTTTCGACTTGTGTTAGTTCATGATATCCCTCCAGTGAAATTGAAAATCTGTCCATAATAAATAGGAGGGCCCTGATCTTTTCCTTCTCCTCCTCATCAAGGTTGTCATAGGGCTTATTAGGTTGGCCTGTGAGAAAAAAAATAGAAAAAGCCTAGTTATCAAACTGCACACACTAAACAGTATTAAAGCCTAGCTAACATTGCAAAGTGAGAGTTAATTTCTGTACTGAGACATACTGTAGGGCTCCAGGAACAAGCCTACTTTGTTTTGAGATTATTGTTGCTTTTTAAAATACTTGTGTTCTTCTCAGATGACATAACCTGACTCCCCTCTGAACAGACAATACTCTTTGCAATAAAGGAAAAAAAATCTTGATATTGAAGTTTTTTGATAAAACAAAACTAGGGTGGACTATAGTTACCTTCAGACAACTGGGCCTTAGTGATCATTACAACCTATGCAGTGGTAGTTACCTTGATTAAATTCTTGACTTTTAAAGTTTACATTGATCATCTGACCAGTATTGTCTTCCAGACTCAACGATTTTGGAGTCAGCCCATACGTCTCAGAAAACCACAGTGCAGTCTCTGCTTTTTCTCTGTAACAAATTACAAAAACATGGTTTTCAGAAATTTCGTTCATATTATCGCAAAAGTGCAAAATAAAACGTTTTTCAAAAATTGGTCAATTCTGATAAATGTGTAAGATAGATACCTTATTTCCTTGATATGTCTTTGTTGTTGTCGATGCCCGACATTTTCAATATATTTTCCTCGATGGCCATTTTGTCCTCGTAGACATCTGCGATGCCTTGTCTATGCAAAGGGTAACATATGGGTAGAAGTCAGTCAAGTATATTTTTACTAGAGTTAACTAATACAGATTCGTCATCTAAAGTTGTATGCGGTGTGTTAGTTCTGTGTAGTAAAAATTGGTGATTGGTGAACATGAAACTTTAAGTCTACATACGTACGGTTTTCACCTGGAGTTAAAATTAAAGTCGATACCAGAAAAACATTAGCGCTGAGATCGACTTCTCATACAAGCAGGATGCTAACATAGTCAATTTTCAAGGCAAATTTGCGACCTCTTCTGAAAGCGCAAGAACAAAGTGAGAATGATACACTGTTCAATTGAACTTTCTTCTTTAAAAGCCATATGGTAAAAGTAGCATTTGAAAAGTAGTTTATCCGTAAACGAAGAGAACGTAAGCCTTCCTCGACATTTTCAGCCCTTTTCCTTTATTGTTTGACAATCATTTTCTAATTAGCTTTTAAATTTAGCGCCAGCGTCTCAATGAAAGTCCCGGATATGTCGCTGAATTCTGGGCGATGGGCAAAGCGCAAAAGGTTCCCCTTCCAATGCAGGCTCGGTTTTCTTCCACCAATTCAAGTAAATTGTTGTCTATCTTCCTGTCAACGGAAAATGACCCTAAGCAAAAACTCTTTTGCGTTTTGCTACTCTTCCGAATCCTATTTGAGGAGTTTCTTTTATTTAGTCTTTCACAGCTCATTGTGATGCTATGATTTGATGGGTTATTTTGTGATCATGGATTATTGTTGACATTCTTTTGCAACAGTTGATGAATGTGAGTCATCTCCTTGTAAGAATGGAGCAAGTTGTAAGATTACTCAAGATGGTTACAGTTGTCAGCCATGTCCTGCAGGATGGGATGGGAAAAACTGTGATGAAGGTTTGATGCGTCTTTGAATTAACTATCTTTTTGGTCTTGGGAAATCACTTACGGCCAGCAGCTTAGTCCTCTTTCAAAGGAAAGTCTCCTCAATTGTTTTTTTCTAAGAGAATGAATAAAAATTTTGTTTGTCCAAACCTTTTCGGTTGCCTATGGTGTCAGTGTTCCTCAGTATGGTAAAGGTCCTCGGACGATCCTCGCGTTGTCTGGGCTCAGTTTGAACTAGAGCAATGCTACCAGTTCTTTTACTCGCTAATCTAGGCTCTGAGGATGAACTCTTTTTGTGGGTAGTCTGTACTGCCATATGCGCTAAAAGACACTCGACGTGCGAAAGCAACGTTGATATGCGCGTCGGATTTCAACAGTAAATGGTCTAGAGCCATTGAAAGTTACCATTACTTCCAACTTTCTCATCCTTCCAACTTTTTCATCCTTCCAACTTTTTCATCCTTCCAACTAATTGGTGAAACAACGTTCTCATTTTAAATGTCTTCAAATCACTTCAAATCTATACGCTTTCTGGGCGAAGCCAATCAACTTTTATAGTCATTACAATTAACGACGTCTGAGTTAGCCCTCTCATGGAACAAATAAAGGGTTTCGAAGAGGAACCTAAAGATTCTCTGTGTTTTGTCTTTAAGTTTATGTCGCTGTCTTATCAAGTTTGAGCGTAAATATACAGCACGTAGTATACATTAACGATTAATACATGAAACATTGCTACCTACACGACACTAAATAACCGTCAAAAAGTAGCTTTCACCAAAGCAAACAGGATTCCGACAACTGTTAAATTCATTTGGAATCCCTCGGCTGATAAACCCCAGTTGCATTTTCGCCACAGATCAAACCCTCTTGTGACCATACCTCGTTTCATCCAGTTTGCCTTCAAAGTAGGATTCGGAGTATTTCCATAAGAATCAAGGATTCACCAAGATTAGTTTTTTTTCAGTCCTTTATGTTTCTGCCGAGACCTAAGGTTGAAATTTTGAACAATTTATTATCAAACATGGACTAAAAAAGTCAGACTTCTCAATGGACAGATGCTTTCATCCATCTGTTTGTTTGTTTTTTCCACCAGACTCGGACTCAAGTTTTTCCACAAGAATTGAGGGTTCACCAAGATTTTTTTTCAGTCCTTTATGTTCCTACTGAGACCTTAGGTGGAGATTTTGAACAATGTTTAACCAAACATAGATTACAAAAGTCAGACTTATCACTTGACATGTTTTCATCCATATGTTTGTTTCTTTTTCTCCACCAAATTCGAACTCAACATTTTGGCCCATTGATTTCTTCCAAATTCTTTTGCTGCAGTCACGTGGAAATCTGAAGGATGTTACAAAGAGCACAAGAGGAAAGCGAAAATAGTTCTCGGACGTAAAATCGCCACCGTCCATGGAAAGAAACTAAGCATTCAGGACGTATTTGAGAAGTGCAAAATTGCAGCGGAAAAGAAAGGTTTCAAGATTTTTGGTATTCGAGTGAGTGAAAAAGATTTGTTTAACTTAACCTAGCATTCATAAGACTATTTAATTAGTTTCCATAAGCAAGTGTGTGAGATATCTGACTCAGTCGAACGAAACACTCGGTTGCATAAGCATAACCAAAATTGCAGTACCCCCCTTTAGGCTTGGTTTGTAGTGATCGCTTTAAGAGCTAATGTCAGCATGCATCAAACAAAGAGCGGCAAGTCACCCAAAGTTTGCTCTCACTCCTACTTTCATATTTTGTAGCCCAATATGTTCTAATAATTGTGGTGTAGTTTTTTTTGTAAAAATTTAATTCAGTTTTCGAGAAAAGCAAGTGTGTGAGATATCCGACTCAGTCGAACGAAACACTCGGTTGTATAAACATAACTAAAATTGCAGTACACCCCTTTGGACTTGGTTTGTAGTGATCGCTTTAAAAACGTTGCAAATGCGATTTTCCCTAGGTAACTCGCAAGGTAGACTGTAATCTTGATTCCCGACCATTTTTAATCTTCTTCTCTATTTGTTGTACAGAACAGGAACAGGTGTTTCACAACAAGTGATGGAAAAGTGCAGGAGTTTAAGGTCTAGGTCAGTCCTTATGGGAAGAAACTGTGGGAGGGGGATGGGGGGGTTTGCATTGTCGTATTTAAATTTTTTAAAATTTAAAATCGGTGTTCTTTAAAAATAACACCGATCTTACTAGTCTGGATACCAGTTAGAAGAAGAAAATTAACAAACACTATTAAAAAAACGATCATCAAGAATGTAAGGCAAGTCACGAGTTAGATAAAATTTAAGTAGGGACATTTAAACAACACTGCAAAGTAGCTCAATATTAAAATAAACGATATTTTTATTACCGTAATGATTCGATTTAGATCCTGGGCGCTTGTTTATTTTTGATACCTCAAGGGAGAGTGTCCATCGGATACAGGGGGCTTATTAGGGACAGGACGTTATTTTATTTTTTGAGGAACAGCATAATGTACAAACAAAGCTTTGACATTTATTTTGAAAAGGATCAAAAACAGACTGGTTCCCCCTGGATCCTTGATGAACCTTCCTGGATAGAACGACCAGCGGCAGCCAGGCAATTGTCACAAAATTTTAAAATGAGTGATAAATTAAATAGATGAGAGAGCTTATTAGAGAGGGTGCGCTTATTATAGCGAGAGCGGTAAATCGAATCATTACGGTATCACGATTATTTATCACACAGCCATGAACATAAAATTTCTATTGTCAACATGATAAATCGAGTTTTTATTTTAAATCATCTTTTCTAATCTTTTCTTTAGGCTGTAAAGATAGACTCAATGCAGAAATGCAGCAATGCACAAAATGGATTGGATGGAATTAGAAGTTCTACCGGAGTAAATTGAAAATCTTGTTGGGTTAAGGGTTTTAATTCATTAAAGGGTTAATCTGAACTAAATAAAAAACGCGGCACAAATGGGAAGAGTGTTTATCATCTTTTATTGAAACTATAGCAACCTTCTACGTTAACTTGTTTTCTTTGAGAGGAAGTCGCAAGCCACAAGTTCTTTGGAAGCAATAGGCGAACCTACGTTTTTTTTCTGCATCTCTTTGTTGCTTATGATTGGGATTTTTGAAGTTGTCGTCAAGATTAATGTTGTAGTATAGTTGGTGTTTTCAGACAATAGAACGGGTGATCATATGAAAATTGAAGTCTCCCACAAGATGGTTAGCATGTAAGAATGAAGACTCAGGAAATCTGAGAACTTCTACAGGAAAACGTTTAAAGTTCTAGTTCGCCATGCTCAGACGGTAGTAAATTATTTTTCCCTTAAATACTGCAAATATAAAACCACGCACCTTAATGTTTGGATGGGCAGGTGAACCAAACCGACTTTTATTTCGCATTTCAGTTCAAATAGTAGTAAGTAATTAGTATAAAGTTGGAAAGTTATAATCGGATTTCTACAAACTCAGCGGCCTAGTTTCTTGTAAAGTTGTAGAAGTACTTTCTAGAAAACAGATATCATTGACGACTTGGAACTTTTGCAGTCTGTGCAACTTTAGCAATCTCTCTTAAAATATTCGCGACTACAGGAGCAACGGGTAAAGGAGGCACGAGTCGCACACCAGACTATAAACCTAAAATCTCTTTCCCGTATTTCTTCGCTGTAGAGTCCGCCTTAGATCTTTTAAATGTAAAAATAAAATCCTCTTCGTGAAGCTTCACGCGAACTAGTAAAAACTTTCGTCTGCGTCAAAAAAATGGCACAAAACGAGAACGATAAACAAAACATTAGACTTTACTCATTAAAATTGCAAAACTAAGGTACATTTAGGTATGAAAACAACGTGGCCTCCAAAAATGGCAACTAGCAACATTTAACGAAGACCGCCAACAAGCGGAGTGGTAATTCCGATTCGGCCAGTGCCCTTTCTTTGCGGAGTGGTAATTCCGATCCGGCCAGTGCCTCTTCTTATCAGCAAATATGACCACGCCAAACAATCACAAAATCATCTCTCGAGTTTTTTTAAATTGATATAAAATGTTCAGTGAAACCACAGATAAATAAATAACAACTTACACCTAGTAGACCATGGGCTAGGGAATATGAACAGTTTTTTCTTCTCTTGACCATGGAATACTCAAAATTATTGC